TGGAGACCGGTTCCCGCTCACTGGTTGAGTGCGGTGCGGGCGCAACACTGAGGGTTGCGATTCCGTTGCCAGTCAGTAAAAAAGACAAAAAAAAAAAAGACAAAAAAAAAAAAGAAGAGAGCATCTATGATCGAACTATGAATCAGCTCATAGGCTAAGAGCTCTCTTAAAAACTAAAAGAAAGATTTCTGTTGAAGAAAACCCAATTCACTTTTACAGAGGAATGAGAGAATTGACGAAACATCCCCCCTTTTTCTACCCATCAAAAGGGGGCTGCTGAATTAATCCATCAGAGAATTTAGACCTGTTTTTTATTCATATAAGCAGAATTTGGGTATAAACAGAAGCGGTTTTTCTTAATGAGTAAAGTCAGGAGATACCTTTAAACATTCATGGTTTTGAAAAAGATAAACTTGTTTACTCCGAAGAGGGAGATATGCTCCTACAGACAGACAGAGGAGCACGCAGCTGCTGTCTGGGCGACGGCATTGTACTCACGTCCAGGAGACCGTGGGCGCCGCCGCTGCTTTCCTTGTTGGCTCTGCACATGGCTTGGTAGTCATAAAGGGTGATTCTACAGGGAACAATGGAACAGGGCTTCACTAAATGAGAAAACATGGGAGCTGTTGGGGCTTAGGAAACGACACCCCCAAATAAGCTGCTTTGGACTTCAAACGGAGAGCACCGGGGAGGAGCAAGTGCAGGATGGGCTTTCTCTGATCTTCCCTTATCTAAGGACAGTTCCTCTGGAAGGAACACAGTCTTCAACCAGGGACGATTAAGTCACAGGAAAAGACACTGAAGGAGTGACGTCTCCCTCAGCGACTTTTGCCACAGGCCACCATCTATTCTTCTGAGGGCTGCTACCTGAGAGACAACCGCATAATAAACCTTTATTTCCAGGGCATTTCCTCCCACTCCCTCCCATGGCTTGCTGCCAACACCCTCCAGGAGCCCCCTAGCTTTCTGTATGGTGTAAGAACTGCAGTCGGCGGGTCCTTTTTTGAGTCTCTTCCATGCACAAGTGCGTATAATAAATCCATATGCCTTTTCTCCTATTAATCTGCCTACTGTTGGTTTATTCTAGAGACTCAAATTATCAAACCTTCGGAGGACAGAAGGAAAGTTCCTTTCACCCTGAACTGTGTACCAGCAAGGTGAGCAGTCACTACCATCAAGTGCAACAGTGACAAACACAATGCAGGTCTAATAATGAGGGACAAACAGGGGATGTGGCAAAGCCTAGCATGGGAGACACAATAATATCACCACTTGGAACTTGAAGAACGGAGGGAATGAAGGTATTGGGAAGGACAGAGGGAGACACTGGATGGAATCTACATGGAACACGTCTCCAAAGGTTTTAAGAAATGGCAGGATCCTCTGTCTTTCTAAAGCATTAGGAAGCAGGCTTGGACCAAGTTAAGCCCTGTATGTTGACAGCTCGTGGGAAACCAGCTGGCTTGTTGATTGTAGTCCCCACCCCTCCCTGCCACCACCATTGCAGTGAGTGTACTCTTACTTTTGTATCATGTGTTGTTCATAAAAAGTGCAGTTTATGAAACAAGAAAGTGAACTTTTTTTCCCCTCCATTGTGAATAAAAGCATAGCTCTCATCCCAATTATGGCCTTTTCTCAGTTGCAAAAATGTTTTACTTCATGATTGTTTGAGGTTTTTAAATTCCCCATCACCAACTTTACAAAGTAGAGGTGAATGGCAAACTCTGGTAGTATGTCACAGCATTTAGATGGAGTGAGCACATTATCCCATACTTGGAAGCTGTAGTCAAAGGAGACAGAGACATGCGTTCCCACCCTGCCCTGCCCTGCCCTGCAGCATCCTCTCCCACCATTCTTGGAAGCCCAAAGGAGAGACACTTAAAGTCCAGCCTGAATTACATAACAGTTGCCAGATGCAATTTTAAACACTTTAATACACGCACCTTTAAGGACTGGACGGAATTCTTCCCATGGGAATTTCTTTCTAGACTAGTACAATGTTTAATGCGGAGTGTTCTTACTGCAGTGCTTAGAAAGAACACTAGAATAAAAGCTTCATGTGGCAGGACTGGTGCTGAATCTGTTTCACACCTACCCTAGCACCTAGCAGAGCACCTCACATGGAGATGACATTCAGTTGTAAAAGGTCAAATGCATGAATGATTGCCTGACTGCATGATTATCTGGACAGTAAGAGATATTTTGGATAAACAGATTAAACACAAAGGCATCTATGGGCACAAAGTACAAAACTGGTCACAACTGACCAAATTGAGAAGGAAGCCAACTCTTGATCAGCAGCACACAGCACTCCTTGGGCAGAAAGCCCAAGAGGCCACTTGGTGGTCACACAATCTCCCAGCCCATCCCCAAGGCCTCTCCTTCATCAGAATATTTTTTCTTCATCATCCTCTGGCTTTTTTCCTCATGCAGATGCAAGAAAGAAACTTTGTTTATGGAAACAGAAATGAAGACCATGAACCAGACAAACATTAGGCTTGGGAAGCTCCCACACAAACTTCTCACAGAAAAGCTCCCCGTAGACATAACTCAACAATAATATGCCACAGAATCAACTGCAGACCACAGTGGACAACTCTAATAGTCCCTGACAGGCCCACCATGCCGGGTCTCCATCCTCACCCAGGAAATTTCTGCAGGTGCCCCTGCAAGAGCTTTCTAGGATTTGGCAAAAATTAGTACTGACTCACCCTTTTCCTACTGCCCAACTCTGTCTCTACAGCTAAAACTTGTGCCAGAGCTGAGTGAGAGGCAGCATGGGGTTGAGCAGAACCTGTGTGTGCTTGGAGGCTTATAGACATGGGTGCAGGATGGCCTTGGTTTCAGAAGTTGGTTCTGCCACATATTGATGGTGTGATCTTAAGCAGGGGCCTTATCCTCTCCTGAGGCTTCATTTTTTCACTTATAAAATGACTTACGGAGATGTTCTGAGATGTAAACAATCAGATGTGTAGAAGCACACTGAAGTGTGCTACAAGGTGTGCTAGCCTTGTTCAGGTCCTCCCAACAGAAGACACCATTTCATTCTTTATTAGAATTTGGGCTCTTAAAGCTGCACTGTTTCCAAAGGCTCAAGGGACAGATGTGTGACACACGGCTAAAGAGCCAGCTTTGAAGTCAGTAACACCCGAGCTCAAATCCTAACTCATCCACTCACAACAAATGTTTTTTAACCCTCATAGTGCCTCCCTTTCCTATCTATGAAATGGTTGAGAATAAGGGCTACTTTACAGGGTGGTTGTGAGGATTAAAGGGGCTTATCTGTGTGTTGCATTCAGCACAGCGCCTGACACAGAAGAAACATCCAACAGAAGGCAGGGCGGCAGCTGCTGTTATAATTATTAGTATGTTTTCCATTGCCACTATTAAATAATAGGGTGGTGTTTAATGCAATGGGAATGACCCATGCATTACCCAGCTGGCTGAAGGACAGACAAGCCTCCTGATTTTTGAACTCATTAGCACATGCAATGCATAGTAAAATTCATGCTTGTTACTGCAGTATAAGGCACTCTCAGAAGTTATGCTGGGGTTATCAAGAGATGATGCAGGAACTTCTGTCCATGGGCTTCTTAGCCGAAGAACATGATAACAACAGCTGATGTCTATTTAACTTTAATAGTTTGTTATAGTTAGTAACTATAAGTAAGACACTCTTACAAGTACATTCCTACGTGATAGATTTGAATCATCCCCATTTTACAGAGGAGCAAACCAAGTTTCAGTCAGCCTAAATAATGTACCCAAGTTCACAAAGTTAACCACTGGTAGAGCCAGAATTCACTGGGGGCCAAGCTGAATCCACCTCACCCTGCTTTCTGCTCAGAAGCAGGCTCTGACAGGTTCTAGGAAATCCTTAGAATTCAGGCTTGTGCCCCATTCCAGAGTCTTATTGGAATGTCACAGGAAATGCTGCCTTAGATAAGGTCTCGTAATCAATGTCCAGAATCAACTATCAACTCAAGCTAAGGGCCTGTCAAGGAGTCACTGGGCCAGGCAGAACCAGCTGGTTGGGCTTGTGAATGCCTGTTGCCATGGTAACCACCCTGACAGATGACAGGAAACTCAGGATTCTCCTTGGATGGCTTTCAAAGGCTCCTGCTTACATGTTGGGGCCAAACTAAATTGCTCTGGGGCAGCCCCCAGGCCAGGGTTCCTGTCTCATTTTAAAAGGAAGTTTTCCTGATACTATTGCCACTGAGGAGGTTATAAAACAAGCTTTCCCTGTCTTCTCCGCGCTTAGACAGCTTTAACTAGATGTTGCAGAAAGAGAGACTTCCAGATTATTACCCTTTTTGAAGTGATTTTGTTACTGTTTTAAGTAACTCCATTTTGTGGCTACCTGTATCCTGTTTGGCTGATTATAGTTAAGGAACATGATAATTGCCTGCTTTCATTCGATTCTAAAATAAGCCCTGAGAATCGTGCCCAGACCAAGACTGGTGCTGCGTGCTGCTGCACACAGCAGTGGGAGTTTATTCTTACTACAGAGAGCATACCTTAATCCCATGACATCACCACTAGGCCACTTGAGCTGTGGTCCACAGCCAGAGACCTTATCATTAGCATCACTGTGCTCCCCAGACAGATCTCTTTGAAACTTTGACAGAAGGCAGATACGGTCTCTGAGGAAGAAGCTCAAAGCATGCTAACAAAGCCTGGCAACCCTGTGCCCTGTGCTGGGTAGAGCCTTGGATGACAGGCTCATGACATCAGGACTAGTTCAAAGTCATTTTGCTGATACTGTTCTTTTACAGCTAGACAAAAATCACAAACAAAAACATTTCTTCTAAGAATTAGCAGGTTGAATTTTAAAGGCACAAGCTCAGCTAATTTAGGCTGGTTAGCAACTGCAGGGACTGACATTTATTAAACACCTACTACGTGTCATGAGTCCAGGTAATTTACCTGCAATGACTCAATTAGCTCATTTTGGTTAAACAAATGGCCTAAAACCAATCTTAAAACAGTTTAATGTCTGCAAATGCAGCCCTAAAAGCAAGACAAGAGAGGCCTTCGACATAAAGACCCATCATGGGACATAATTAAGCAATTGTGAATCTAAAAGTCTGAGAAGCAAAATGACTCGCTCAGGTAGCATTTAAAAATACGTATTCTTTGTTGGGCTATAAAATGTGTTCTCTGGGGGCAGATTTCAACTTGCAAGTAAATGGGCATGGAGCAAGAATACAGGAAACTCTCAACAAAGGGATTGTTGTCATGGGAAGCCCTCGCTCATTCTTACATCTCAGAAAGCCAGGCGAATGGAAAGCTCAGCTATTGATGTGAGTGCTAACAGAAGATCCAAAACGTGTTCTTCCTTTCTGTCCTGCTTGCATCGGTCACCACCTCATCCCACAGCAACTTCTTACAGAGATGGCCCTGTTCTTGAAGATCAGTGCAGCAAACCTGACAGTTGAGCCAGTGCTGAGGCCGGCCCTCCTGCCTTTGGGCCCTCCAGCTGGAAATCACTAAAACAAGTTTTGGTAGTGAGCACTCATCATTAGCAGACAATAAGCTTCACCTGGCTGCACTAGCCAGGAGCCCAGCTTA